CATCACCAGCTGAGGACGAAGTATTTAAATACACAAATCTGTGTGTGTAGTGTGTGTGTGTGTGTGTGTGTGTGTGTGTGTGTTTCTTACATTCAAAGCATGACCCTTGATCCAGGGTGGTCCAGCCCAGTATAGTCTGATTTTATAGTGGCTTAGGGGGACACAACCTCATTGTTAAAGTTGGACCATCTCATTGCCTTCTTAGCGGCAACCATTACTCCGCTGTCTCTACACCATGCACATCTGAGCAGGGAGTTTTGAAAACACAAATTTGGGATCATTGGATGAAAATGATGAGATTTTTGCATGGGCCGACTCTGCCCGGTTGGTAGCTACTGGCAATACCATGGGCTTGTGCTGACTCACCCGGACGGCCACCATAGTCAGTCAGCCATGTTTGCCGTGGGCTTCCTATTTGTGGGGAGATCGGTGACAGCTGCTAATATGAGATCACAGAACCTCATGTTCAAATATAAGAAACCCAGCTATTCTTTTCAAATGCATCTAGTCTCTTTTTCTGGACAAGGCCTCAATTCTTGCCCTGTAAAAACCTACAGTCTGGTTGAGCTGGTATCTCTCTGTGCCTAGAAAAATCTAAACCAGGGAAAGCTACTGTATTGTTAGAAGAATGGCTCAGAACTGAAAATAAACTATATTGCAGGAAAAATTCGAGAAAAACTGTTTTCAGACAGTGTAGAAAGGGTGCTGTAGGCTTGTCAAGCTCCGTTATTGAAAACAACAGCAGTGGGGCGTTATTAAAATTTATCGTAATAAAAAGGATGGCATGTATGTATGTACATGTGTATGCATGTATACTGTATAGGTTCCATTTATATGACTTCATATGGTTGTTTGTTGTTGTTACCCAAATGTCCTTTCACGATGATGCGCTATTTCTTCTTTTCCACTGTGGTATACCAGCTCAGAATAAACTTGTCAATCAAAAGAAAAAGCAATCAGGGAGAGAGTCTACAAAGGAAAAAAAAATGGTGTTTATTGGGGACTAACGGAGTATTTCACTGGGAACATTTGTGGCAAAGCAAACAGTGGGCATTTTTGTAGAGGCTCAAGCGGCGGGGGTGCGGGGCAGGTAAAACCAGGGTGAGGAGGACTGCAGCGGGTATTTGGAGACCGTCAGCCTCGAGCTGGCAAGAGTGGCTGCATCTGAGGTTCCACAGAGTTGCTGGGTAAATGTCCTTATAGAAGTACTTTGTATACAACTTTAGAAGTTTGTGCGATGGCAGTTCTCGGGTAACCACGTGTTAAGAACCTGCCCTTTATGACTTCCTGGCTGTGTTCATTTCGTTAGGGGTGACCAAGCAACTCCATTTTGGTTCTGAAGAATTTTATGTGTCTTTCCCAGACCAGGCCCTCCTTTCAGAACCTTCTCTGAAATAATTAGCCTTTGGAATATCATACCGTTAGTTATGCCTTTCTTCTTTTAGGATGTATTTACTTTTATTTCACGTGTATGAGGGTTTTGCTTCCATGCATGCCTGTTTCACATGCATACTGTGCCTAAGGAGCCCGGAAGAGGGTGTCAGATCTTCTGCAACTGATGTTACAGATGGTTGTTAGCCACCATGTGGGTGCTGGGAACCCAACCCAGGTTCTCTATAGCAAGTGCTCTACCCACTGAGCCTCCAGTCTCTATACCTCTACTTTGATCTTGCTCTTTCTCGGAGGTTGGACTCCTGATTTGTAAGCCACTGTATTCTTTCTGAGTGCACAGGTTTCCCCGTGACCGCCTCAGTCAGCCACCATACCCCACTGTTTCCACCTCTGGGCTTCAAACCAACCGCTCTCAAGTAAATCTTCTACCCTTGCATTAATTCGTGGATTCATTCGACAAAAGCTGAAAGCCCGAAATCTCATCATCTAATGGAGGGATGGGTGTGCACAAAAGGCAATCACGTGAAGTTACGGCGTTTTGGGTGAGGTTGGTGAGACTGGAGTGTCTGGAGCCTTTTAGCCAAGATTTCCTAGATAAGGAAAGTATTTCTAGTTAGGTAGGGGAAGGAAGACAGCTTTGGGAGTCACAGAGGTCCTGTGAGAACTATAAGAAGTCAGTGAGGGTATATGTGGGAGATAAAGGAGGGAAGGAGGGCGGGAGGGAGGGAGGGAGGGAGGAAGGGAGGGAGGGAGGGAGGGAGGGAGGGAGGGAAGAAACTCTGAATTGATGGTAAAGTGGGGGCATCATAAAAAGCCACGTTTGTTCTCTTCAAGAGTTCAGATTCACTCTGTACAAAACGATATTTTATTTGTTTAGTGTTTTGCTTGCTTGCTTGCTTGCCACACTAGGGATTTGAACCCAGGCCCAAATGTGCACCAGGCAAACACTATGAAATGAATTGTATCCTCCGGCCCTGGAATACGTCTTCCATCAGATTTTGGGAGAGTCTGCTGATCACAGCAGCAAGGCATACAAGTTGAAGGCACGTGGGACTAGAAGGAATCCAAGGAGGAAGGCGTCTGTCAGGGTGGTGCCTGTTGGAGGTGATGATCACCAGGGCAGAAACGGGGTGGTGGCCAGCTCCCTAGGAGTAAGGCTTGCTAGGACTCGGTGATTGATCTTGACATCTGGGCAGGAAATGGAGGGAGGCATTTAAAACAACTCCCATGCAATTAATTGGATTGTCTGTGTCAGGCATTGCGTATATATGGCGGCACACCTGCTTGGAGCAACTCTCCCAGGCTCTATTCCAGGGCAGGACTTGGCAGCCCCAGAGAGACTCATTGCCACTGTGTGTACTTAAAGCAGAAAAGGGAGGTAATGCCTACCCCCAGGACCATGTATATGAACCTTACTTACCACCACAGGGCACAGACTCTGTAAGGAAGATATAGACGAAAGGAATTCATTCCCTAGCACTTTGCCACCTCTAGATGGGAGTGATCGGGGCCTGTGGATGGGGCTGAGAGAAACTTGCTGTGGGCAGACTTCCCTAATTTTGCATTGAGAGGGCATCTTTAGAGGATGGGCTGCTGCACTGGCCTCTGTAATCAGTGGAAAGCAGAACACTTCCTGAACACATACTTCAGTGTAATCCTAGCCCTTTCCTTCCATTGAGGACTAAGATTGTTGACAGTGAGAGGAAAAGCAAGGTTCTTGAAGAAATAAATGGGTTGGAGCAATGAGCTCCAGAATTATCCATTGATGGGGCCCACCCAGTTCACACAGGGTCAAAGTGTGGAGGCTAGGCTAATTCAGATGGTTCTCCTGGGTTCATTTAAGGAGTATCTCTCCAAGATGTGCAAGAACACACACACACACACGAAAGAAAAAAACAAACAAACAAACCTGTCCCTTCTGCACCTGCTTGAAACTAGCATGGACATTACTTGTGGCTGTAAGTACTATGCTAAGGAGTCTAGCTGATGCCTTCTTCCCCAAAGATCCAGTTCCTCTGTAAGAAGGTAGACACACAGTCACCATGGAGAGTGACACACTGTCACCATGGAGAGAGAGAGACACACAGTCACCATGGAGAGACACACACAGTCACCATGGAGAGATACACACAGTCACCATGGAGAGAGACACACACAGTCACCATGGAGAGAGACACACACAGTCACCATGGAGAGACACACACAGTCACCATGGAGAGAGACACACACAGTCACCATGGAGAGAGACACACACAGTCACCATGGAGAGATACACACAGTCACCATGGAGAGAGAGACACACAGTCACCATTGAGAGAGAGAGACACAGTCATTATGGAGAGAGAGACACACAGTCACTATGGAGAGACACACACAGTCACCATGGAGAGAGAGACACACAGTCACCATGGAGAGAGAGACACCGTCACCATGGAGAGACACACACAGTTACCATGGAGAGAGAGACACACAGTCACCATGGAGAGAGAGACACATAGTCACCATGGAGAGACACACACAGTCACCATGGAGAGAGAGACACATAGTCACCATGGAGAGAGAGACACACAGTCACCATGGAGAGAGAGACACACAGTCACCATGGAGAGACACACAGTCACCATGAAGAGACACACACAGTCACCATGGAGACACACACAGAGACACACAGTCACCACGGAGACACACACAGAGACACACAGTCACCATGGAGAGAGACACATAGTCACCATGGGAGAGTGATACAGAGCCCATCTTCTCTTGTCCTTAGCAGAGGCAGGTGACTAGCTCCAGGCTTTACCTGTGGCATGCACATAAGATGGCTGTGGACAGTTTACATTTCTAGAAACCCTTCCAGGTTCCTGCTTGTTGCCTGTGGTGACTCACCTCGTGTTGTATATTTCTGTGTTATTACAAATCAAGCTCAGGAATGGGCAATCCTGCCCCAGGCCAGGGTGACTCTTGGCCTCATTCTGTCTTCCTGCCCCTTCCGCAAGTCGCCCAGTTTGGAAAGAAGGCCTTGCTACTCCTCTTTGTTCTGCCAGTCTCTGTCTCTGTGTCTCTTTGTCTCTGTCTCTCTCTCCATCACCCCCCCATGTTAATTTTTCTTTCTTTTTAATTTTTAACTTCAAACTTTGGACAACCCTAGGTGACCTCATCTCTGAGTGGGACTGTCGCTAGACTTCTCTGAAAGGACCAGTTTTTCTCTACTTCAGTATACTGACCAGAATCTTGAGACTCATTTCCAGAAAGCATGGACCTTATGCCCATCTTTTGCCTTCGTGGTGGCTCATCCTTTCCCCGTGGATGTTTGTACACCAAGCTGCCTTAGACTTTTAGTTTCCTCTTGCCTTCGACGGGCACCTCGTTCCTCCTTCCAGGCTGTGGTCAGTCACCTCTCTTCCTTTTACAGGAATGTCAGGTTTTGCTTCCTCGGTCATGGACCATCTATCCCAAAACCTTCATCTGGAGTATACCCCAGCATCCCAGAGTTCTTGGGATGCCACTCAAGACAGATGCAGTAGATGAGCTTTGTGAAAATATCCCACAACACAGGCTTGTTTATATTCATTGCCATGACAATTGACTTCTGCCTTCTCTTTTAACAGTGGAGCCATCCTTCCTGCTGAGAAAACTTTGTTCACCCTCCAGGTCTTGGCCAAGCCCAGCGAACATCCTGTGATCTTTCCGGTTTGATCCCTGTGTGTTTCTGTGCCGTGTATTGCCCTACATGCTAAGCACCTGTTAGGTAAAGACCAGGTCTTGATCCGTTTCTACTCCCAGAGCAACTGGTGTTGAACTGACACTAACAGCTTTATAAATACTTCGTCCAGCTAGTTGATGGGGTCAGCCCTTCACTGCTTTTATCACTTAGCTATAGACCTGACTTACCAGATGAGAAATCACTGCAAACATGTTCGTGGTCTCCGGGTCCTTTGCTCAACACGGCAGGGAGAAACTCTGTGTGGAAACCAGGGAATTCTTATTTCCAACTGTTTGGTTTTTCTTAAAACATCGATTTTATGTTATGTGTATTGGTGTTTTTGCCTATGTGTTTGCCTATGTGTCTACTGTGTGCCCGGTGTTCACAGCGGCCAGAAGAGGGCCTCATATCCTCTGTAAGTAAAGTTACAGATGATTGTGAGCTGCCATGTGGGTGCTGAAAATCACACCTGGGTCCTTTTAATGAGCAGCCAGTGCTCTAAACCCCTGGGCCATCTCGACTGTGAATTGATTTCGTTTGCTTCTAACAGTCCGCAGCATTGTCAACACTGAAAGACATGTAGCGTTGGTGGGCAAATGATCTTACTCTCACAGAATAAAGTGAGCTAGAAAGCAATTCAGATCTAGTCCAACTTCCGAAAAGTGTTATATTCACTTGCCCCAAATCTTTGAAATAAAGATTACTTAGAAATGTATCCAAATGTATTAAAATTCAATTAAAAAGTGTTTGGCATTTGGATAGCTTTCCTAAGCTGAGGTGTGTCCTCACTGATCACTGTGTACGGGTTGCAAGAGCCATGGACTGGGAATCCGAGGGATGGAGTACAGCGAGAAGCTTCCTGGGCTCAGGCTTGCAGCCTGGCTTTGCTTATTCCAGGGTCACATGGGCAGAATCCCACAGGCCTGCCCCCACCGCAGAGCATAGTGGGGTTCTGAAGGGATAACATCTGAGGGTGAATGTCTTAGGAGCCATAAGTGTTAGGTGGTTATAAAGGAAGTTATTGTCATGGTCTTAGTAAGAATTAAGTCACGTGGAGTTTGAGTTACAGAATCCCTTCTGTTCTGTGTCATGGAGGTCTAGTTGTTAGCAAGAGTGGCTGAACCACTTCACACGTGGAATGTTGGTTATGCAACGCCACTTTGTGATAATGGGCTGGTAAGCCAGGAAGGAGGAAAAGCTGTTTAACTACCATCTCCAGTTATTAGATGCATGTTTTTCAAATGGATAAACTCTTACTCCAGTGAAAAGCAGAACCTTAGTTGGTCCGTGTCCCTGGCTGTGCATTTGAATGGCTTTAATCAAATACTCAGAGGCACAGGGAATGAAGAAGGGTGCTTGGATAATTGGGAATACAAAATAAGAATGTGAACTTCAGGCACAGAAAGGCGCTCCCATAATCAGTGAGGTACAGTCCTTACCCTTAACTGTTTCAGAAGAGAAATTGGAGGCCTTGGCTGTACCTAGGATGGTCCCTGCCAACTTGTGGCTAGTCCCTGTCAGGATCAGGGTTGCTTCACAAAGAGGGTCTGAGTGGACGGTCCTGACGCCTTGAGAATTGGAGTCTATGTCCTCTGTGTACACAGGAAGCGCTGTTCCCAGAGGAGGAAAGCTATCACATCTTAGGGCACACCAGCAGTTCCTGCGTGCCACCCTTCAAGTCTCGAAAGGCTTGTGGTCACAGTTTGACCGGCTGATACTGGGATGGGATCTTTATAAGGAAGGAAGGAAGGGTTTATTTGGGCCTGTAGGTTCAGGGGACAGCAAAAGCGTGGTAGCAGGAGTGTGAGGAAGCCGTCAGGCAACAGAGAGATGAACACTAATGCTCAGCTACCTTTCTCGTCTGTATTCAGTCCGAGTCCCCACCCAGCCCCTGGGATGGCACAGCCCACATCTGCGATAGATCTTCCTTTCTCCAATAAACCTTTCTAGAAATACCCTGTTAACATCAGGATATGTGTTTCTATGGCAATTCCAAATCAAATCACGCTGCCACTGAAGATTAACCATGGGATAGAATTTTTTTTTTTTAACCCGTGTGCTAACAACTCCCTTGTTCTATCTCTTGTCTCCCCACTCCTTACCGTTGCTTCCCTGCCCTGGCCCTGGTTACTGTGCTTAGAGAGTTGTAGATTTGGGGAGGACTTAAGAGATGGGTCTGCAGCTCAGGGGTGCTGGGTGACCCCCACGTGTTGTCTAGTGAATTGTGCGAGTAAAGAACTGAGCCAAGGTCATCATCCCAGGTCGAGGGCCTTCATCCTAAAATTCTAAAGTGGTTTTCTCGTCACATCTCCCGAGGATTTCCGTCCTCCACCGTCAGAGCCCACTCTGCTTCTCCTCCCAGAAACCCTGTCTGCCCTTTGTCTTTCTCCAGTCTCAGCTTCTTGGCTCCAGGAAGATCCTCAGCATGTTCTTAATTCTGGCTGTAGGCTGGAATACAGTACATGTCCCTCGTGGAAGTTATTCTTTCCTTTATTAGGAGCTACTAATATCCTGAGGCTCATAATGAGTTTGATAGTTTTATTATAGGCTGTGCCCTTGCAAAATAATCAGGCATCCTTTGTAAGAGTGCATGGGAAACTGCTCTCTCAACTCCAGAGCAGCGAGTTAATTGCATTTGGCCAGTTGGGAGGCCGTGTGTGCACAAAGACTCATTCACGGTGCAGGCCTTGAGCTTTTACAAAGTATCTGGAACCAGCAAGAAAATGTGAACTCAAAACTGGTTCTGGCCTGTTTCGTAGCTAAGAAAGTGTGTTGAGAATATTATTCCCTGGGCTGGAGAGATAGCTCACAGGTAAAAGCACTGGCCTAGCATACTAAATGACCTGAGTTCAGTCCCCAACCTGATTTGGATCTCTGGATCCCAACAGTAGAAAGACAGAACCAGTTCCCAAAGGTTATAATCAGACCTCTACATCTCTTACCTCCATATGCATACCATGGTGCTCATGTACACACACACACACACACACACACACACACACACACACACACACACACACTAATAATAATAATAATAATAATAATAATAATAATAATAATAATAAAAATTGTTGTTGTTGTTTAAAAGATGGAGCTGGAGAGATGGCTCAGCAATTAAAAGTACTCTCTGCTCTTGCAGAGGGACCGAGGAAACCAGGTTTGGTTCCAGCACCCACATCAGATGGAACACAACTGCCCAGAACTCCAGTTTCAGATCTGAGGCCCCTTGTGGCCTTGGTGGACACCAGCATACACATGGCACATTTACATCCACGCAGGTACTCGTGCATGTATATAAAGTAAAAATGATTAAATCCTGTTTTTTAAAGACTATCATCTCACTCCGTGGTTTAGAGACCTCGTAGGATGCGCAGGGACATAAGCGTAGTGCTGGTCACTCAGCTTGTAGACGGTTAGCTAGGAGTTAACACTCCCAAGCAAACTCCTCCCTGTCCTATGGGATCCTCGGAGCATTTTTCCCAGGCCCCAGGAAGAGTCTGGACCCACTGATGCATCCAGGATTGTAGAGCCTGCTGGCTTTACTCTGGCTGGAGGAGACTCTAAATCATATGTACCAAGACATTGTTGGGAAATGGGCTTAAGATAGGTGACAAGCAAGAGTTGCAAGCTGGCAGAAAGATTAGTGGAGATTATCAAGTTAACATAAGAAATGACTGGGAGGAGCTAGGGGGATGTTCAGGCATGAAGGGCTCACTGTGCAATCATGAACACCAGACTCGAGAGCCACAGCACAGATGTAGAAAGCTGGGTGTGCTGCTGTGAGCCTGGATGTAATCTCGGCACCGGGCGACAGAGGCCGGAAGATGTCAGTCTAGAACGCTAGCCAACTGGCGAGGCTCAGGTTCACCGAAAGACTGTCTCAAAAGTTAAGCAGAGACACCCAGTGTCAACCTAGGGCCCCCACAGGAGCAAGAGGGATGTGCGCATCCACATAGGCATATGTACTTGGAGGTATACACGACACACATAGAAAATGTACTGGGACTAGAAAGTTTGAATCTTCCTATATGTATACTTCAAATGAGTAGGGAAGATGTTTTGTTTTTGTTTTTGCTAAGGGTAAAATGCTGAGGGAAATATATTCTAGCGTTAGAAGCACAAAAAGCAGAAAGTGGCCAGGGGTAGCTCTGACCCCACCTGAGGTTGACTGTGGAATCCACGCAGGGATGACTCAAGAGCTGAGTGAAAAAATGCCAAAACAAGCCTCCTAGCCAGCCATAACCATCTTTCTTTTCTTTTTTGTTTTTGCTTTTGTGGAGACAGAGTGTCTGACTGTGTAGCCCAGGCTAGCCTCAAAGTCACAGCAATCTTCTGCCTAGCCTCCAGAGTGATGGTATTACAAGTATATGCGACCTCACCTAGCTATGTGCATGAGAACTTAAAGACCCTGCTGTGTCATCTGTTTGGGACCATGGCCAGCCTGGGAATGCAAAGGCATTGCAGACCGTTCCCATTTGTATCCCGTTCCCAGGTTTTTTCTCTGCTGTCATATATGTAAGGAAGCTTCCCTGTGTAGCAGTTATAGCAGTTAAAGGTTTACATTCATTGGGGCCCCGGGCTATTTTTGGCTCATTGCTTTAGAATGAGAACTAGAGGAAGTTAAATATGTGTTATAACGATGGTCAGCTTCGCCTGGACGGTAGTGGTGCATGCCTTTAATCCCAGCACTCAGGAGGCAGAGGCAGGTGGGTCTCTGTGAGTTCGAGGCCAGCCTGGGCTACAGAGCGAGATCCAGGACAGACTCCAAAGCTACACAGAGAAACCCTGTCTCGAAAAACCAAAAAAAAAAAAAAAAGGTCAGCTGCTCTGAAGGGCACACCTTCGGTCACAGTCTTCACTGCAAGTTCCAACCACTGGAACAACTTGAACATTGCCCTTCTAGTGACAAGAGAGTCTAACAGGCCCCCTCTAGGCAGGAGCAGCCACGGGCTCTTTAGATTGGTTCTAAACCACTAATCCTGGGCAAGTGTCGCATTCTCTTGGATTCTCTTTCTTATCTTACATAAAGAAAAGCCTTTTGAACA